ATCCATCCATCCATCCATCCATCCATCCATCCATCCATCCATCTACCCATCCATCCATCCATCCATCCATCCATCCATCCATCCATCCATCCATCCATCCATCCATCCATCCATCCATCCATCCATCCATCCCTCCATCCATCCATCCATCCATCCATCCATCCATCCATCCATCCATCCATCCATCCATCCATCCATCCATCCATCCATCCATCCATCCATCCATCCATCCATCCATCTACCTATCCATCCATCCATCCATCCATCCATCCATCCATCCATCCATCCATCCATCCATCCATCCATCTACCCATCCATCCATCCATCCATCCATCCATCCATCCATCCATCCATCCATCCATCCATCCATCCATCCATCCATCCATCCATCCATTCATTATCTTTAGCTCTACCAACTGAGCCCTCGTGCTGCCCATGCCAAAACATACAGAATCATAAAAATGTAACTGTGATTTGGTTAAAATATATATATTTTAAAGATTTGGTGCAATTTTTTGTTATTTTGTGGACGGATTTACAAACCAACAGACAAAACGAATGAAGAATAGCAGCTGGAAACCATTAAAGGTGCTTCAACGCTTCTGCGGTGACACCCTTAATAATGATCAACGGAAAATTCATTTTTGGCGTGTACACTTTATACTTTTTTATTTTTTCACATTCAAGTTACAGCAAGGTTTATATGTCTGTCAAACGCAGGAAGTAATACGGTCCAGTCTCTGCCCGTGCAGCTGTAAACTTTCTCTTGTTCTGCCCTCAAGATAATTTAACCAAACTTGATACTCATACAGTACAGTGCACATCATCACTAGACGGAGTGTTGCATAAACGTTTCATAACCCCAGCTCCAAAGTCAAGGTCACAAGTCAAGGTCAAATGTTATACAAGGGCGTTGCTTGTCCAGGCCATTGCCATAGACTGCTGTACAACAGTTTGTTGACGGGTGCTGGATGGGTCGTATGCTCTAGTTTTGTTTAATTTCATGTTTTCTTACAGTTGTATCTAAGTTTTTCTTTATCAAGACATTGTTTTTCAGTTTTTCTGTCTGAGCGGCTAACCTGATAATTAGTTGTGTAGATTGCAATGGCTATAAAAATATTCTAAAAATGACTCAATTAACATAAAAAAAAAACAGCAGCTAATAAATAAATATAATCGGAAGAGCAACACACAGTCCTGTCGTGAAGGTTTGATAACATTACATGTAAAAAAGAAAAAGAAAAAAGAAACCATGTTAGCAAGCATTTTACAGTTTTATATTTATTACAAAAAGGATTCATTACTTTTATCTGTGTATCCTGGACAAAAATAGAGTATTTAAATGAAGTATCCAGATGTGAATTAAGATGGAGAGGGAGAACAGAAGAGTGTGGGCAAAGAGCAGAGATAAATGCAACACTTTCAGTCCTGTCTTTTCTGTCACTCTGTTATCGCATCACATTAAAACCACAAACAACTTACTGATACCAACTGAACTATTTTAGTTGCAAACAGACCTTTCTTCAAAAAAAAATCCAACAAAATGGGTTGTTATGGAAAACTAACATGGCAAACTCTGTTTAAAACTTAAATGTTTCTGCCAAAAACAAATCATGCTCAAGTTATCGCTGTATATTGGTAAATATAATAAATGCATCATTTGATCTGATCTGTCTGAAAAGTCATAGCTGCTCAGTTTGCAACGAGAAGGTCAGGAAAAGAGATCATAGATGAGTTCAGTGAGTTACTCTGAAACTTCCCTCCATCCATGTGCACTCTGCAGATGTTGGACACTGTCATGGTGCATTAAGATTCATAACTGGCTGTAACTACCGTACCCACCACTGCACCCTGTATTCACTGGTTAACTGGACATAATTAACTTCTCGCAGACTCTCCCACTGGTACATTTTCATCTTTAAATCACTTCTTCGTCTGCTGCCTTCATACATCTCCTCCTCCATGTCTTTGTGTGAGTGCAGCTACAGCGTGCGCTCTAAGGACATTATTACCTGCAGTGTTCCCTCAATGAGGACTGAACTAGACAAAAAGGCCTTCTCCTATACTCTGCTCTAGTTTTTTATTATTAATTTTTAATTATTATAGTTTCTTTTTTAAACAAAACAATTCTATATACAATAAGAAATACAATCGCAAATAAAATGAAAGGCAGCAGAAAGAAGAAAAAAATCTTATAATATATGCCCCCTTTTTTTTTTCTCCCAAAAATAATTAATTCAAACAATAATAATCTTCAACTAACAAAAACAAAACAAATAACTCCTTCTCGAGCAACAATTCGTACAAATACAGATTAAGCTATTTATTTATTTATTTTTTAACAAATCAACTTTGATCATTCTCTTAAACATACACAATCATCTGGCGTTTTTAACATCACTCACCAGATTATTCCATAATCTAGTTCCTTGGATTGAAGTAGACCGTCCCTTCAAACTATTTCAAAATGTAGGTTTCACAAATATTTCTATCGCCTTAAGATTATAACAACTCTCTCTTTTAACACAATTTAAATGGATATTTAAAGGTAATGTTTTATTATGAGCCCTATACATAACTCCTCCTGGGAGACACAAAGGTGTTGCAGGCCAGAGAGAATCCATCTAACAAGTTCTGGAACTTCTCCACCATCTCTTCCCAACAGGACGTGTCTGAGAACCACTAAAGGACGGTGCCCAGGAGGAATCCTATTCAGATATTTAAACCACCTCAAATGACTCTTCTTAATGTGCCGGAGCAGAGCTCCCCCCAGCTGAGGAGCTCCCAACCCTGTCTCCAAGGCTAAGGCCCTACAGCCACACGTTTCCGGTATCTTGTTCTTTTTGTCATGATCCATACCTCATGACTTTAGGCGAGGAATGTAAACAAACCAGTAAATCAAGAGCCTTGCCTCTCGACTCAACTCTTTCTTCACTTTGACAGTCTGGAGCAATGCCCTCATTACTGCGGACGAGGACCCTACCCATTGATCCACCTCCTGCTCCATCTATCACTCCTGAGCAAGACTCCCTGATATTTAACCCCCTCCTCTACATGCAGCTTTCCACCTTTGGACTGGATCTTGATCTAATACTTGAGATCAGCTCTTATACGCTTATGCTAATTCGTCACATTTTACCTGGGGCCTATAAAACTGTACAACACGTCTTAGGTAAGAGGGCAGATTTATATAATCAGCCCCCATGCTCATCCCCACTAACATGTAGTCCCTACCAGCGGTGTAGTCTACATTTGTGTACTGGGTATATATACTGTGCTTAGAAACCAAAGTACACCCGTTAGTACAATGTAATCTTCAATTTATTTAGATTTTTAAGCAAATTGAACATTTCCACATTTCTCTGATGCTTATATTTGAATAAACGAACAGCAAACTTTGTACAACAGTTGACTTTGTATAAAAAAAAAACACGTTATAGATTTTATAACAGTATCAAAGCACAGCGCTGCATACTGATAGATTATACGGAAGCGTTAACATATCAATGACACATGCCCAATAATATGACGTGTATCATGGGGTACTTTTAATTGGTTATACTGAAATTCTTAAGCTTTTCTGGTGGGTATACTCCGTATGCCCAAATATCACGTAGACTACACCACTGGTCCCTACATCCACAACTGTGCCCCCTTCTGTAGACGTACAGTACAGGGGTAGAGCTGTCAGTCATTTCTGCATGTGTCTTTTAAAAGTTTATCTTTGCAGCTGTAAAGGATTTATCTGCCTTGAGACACACCATTATAGGCGCACACTTCAAGCACACGCTCCTAATTCTGCGTCCTAATTCATGTCTGTGACAGTCATGACATGCAATGTGCGGGTCTGTGCAGGAAAATGAGCCTTCTGTGCGTTAACAGAGAGAGAGAGAGAGAGAGGGGGAGGGAGAGAGCGCGAGAGGGAGAGAGAGCTTTACGCACACCCTGACCTCCTCCACACAGAAGCAGTGAGGCGCAGTGACAGGCGGCGGTCCTCTGACGGTGGGACGTTTTAGCCAAAAGATTCTGAGGAAACAAACTAATCACCTTCATGTCGACTCTGTTGGATACGAACCCGCCGATGCTATGGTTACCTTTATTACGGTAGGAACGCCCTTTATTTGTTTTGCGCGCCTGGACTGGGTTGAAACTTTGTTTGGTTTCTGGGATCGGACGGACGCGCAGACAACAGCACATATAGGTCACAGAATAATAAAAAAAAAAAAACAACAATAAAAAGTTTATTTATTGGGTTTAACTGGAGACTTTGCGATAAGTTGTGTCAGTTTTTAAAAGTTGCTCCATTTGGCACCGAGTTTGCGTCAAACTCTGCACAGCTGGAACACTTTGGTTTGAAGAAACTTGTATGAAATTATTTCTGTCTCTTTGGAGATTTGGAAGCCACAACAGAGCAGAGAGAGACGCACGCGCGGCGCGCGCTCCCTGAAGGCAAAAACAGCATGGACTACTCGTCTCCCTGTGCGTGCGCACAGGTAGACAAAAGGGATGGGTATTTCCCCCATTTCTCTCTGTCACACACACACGCACGCACGCGCGCGCACACACACATAAAGGTTTATAAAAGGCGTGTGCTGCAGGGAGCGGAACTGGCTGAATGCGCACGAAAAGCGACGCGTTTCAAATGGAGCCTTTGACTTCTCCACGCGCTAATTGTGGCCCGGCGCGCGGTTTTGTGGGTGTGAAAGCTGATCTGTAACAGAGGACTCTCAAAACAAAGGCGAACTATGCGTTGAATGTGAACATTAGCCCCCCCCCCCCCCCCCCCCCGTGCACCTTTCCTCCTGGTTCACTGTTGGCTCACGTCCCCGAGGTTCTCTCAGAGTGTCTGCACTACTTTGGAACACGTGCCACGTTTCAAAAAGTGTCTAAAATAAGGACTATGACAGTTTAAGACTTTGTTGTGGGAACAAAATAAAACAAAAACGTCATTTGTTTGAGTTTTACGCACGCCTCATAAAGACAAAGTCCCTCCTTCTAGTGATGCTGTAGTTGTGTGGCGGGACAGTGTGACTGCTTTGCGTAATGGCGCGTGAGTGGGCGTCTTGAGCCCTTAGTGGATGCATTTCTGCTGCTGCTGGAGTCTCTGTCTTGGCATGCGAGCTGCGGATTTTACGCACGGCCTCTCCAGTGCAAGCAGAGACTCAGCCGGCACGAAAAGGAACATTTGGACGCGTGGATGGAGGAAGGACTCACTTTATGAATCAGTTTTGGGTTCTGTGAGAGATCTGGACAGGGATCACTACACAGAGAGGGAGAGTGGGGTGCGTGTGTGTGTGGGAAAGGATCATGGGCGGAGACATGAAATACTGTACAGTGCAGCTGAAAGGTGTAAAACAACAACAACAAAGATGTCTACTTCCTGTTGTGGCTTTCCAACCTGTTTTATCATCAAACTTATTCTTCCATTTGCATCCATTTACTATTTTAAAATTTATGAGGCAACCTGGATGCAAGTTTGTTGATAAAAACATGTTGAGAAAATGTGTTCAATCGGAGTGGGTGACTGTCAAAGAGGTTGCAGCTCGAGAGTCAAAGCTCAAGAACAGAATGAACTTCATTTCAGTTCCATCTCAGCAGAACAGTTAAGACTAAACTAGTCATTGGAAGAGTGTTGGTCAGGTGGATTCTGCAAGTGAAGGGTTCAGACAAGGGTTTTGAGGTAAAGGAGCAGATGCATTCCAGAAATTTACCTCTGTTTTTGTGGACGTTGGGCAGCATTTATTCAATTCACTTCAGTTTATTTCTGTAGCTCCAAGTCAAAACAGAAGTTATCTCAGGTCAGAACAGAAACATTCACATACTTTATTAAAAACAATCAGTAAAGTTCTCTATCTAAGGAAGCAGAAGATTGTGTTGAAGCTTCACTCTGTCACCGTCTCCCATCCTGAGCGAGCACAAAGGCAACAGTGGAAAGGAAAAGCTCCCTTTTGACAGGAAGAAACCTCCAGCAGAACCAGGCTCAGGACGAGCGGCCATCTGTGTCGACCGGCTGCGTTTGAGAGGACAGGAAGAAGGAACAGACAAACAGAAAGACGGAATAGAATGTATGAGTGAAAAAGTCATTTTCCATCATCTACTGAATTTAACATGTATAGAAATATAAAATTTGCGTGAGACTTAAAATTAGGAGAAATTATCCATCCATCCATTTTCTTTACCCGCTTATTTCATTTTGGGTCACGGGGCTCGCTGGTGCCCATGTCCAGCAATCACTGTGCGAGGGGCGGGGTACACCCTGGACGGGTCGCAAGTCCATCACAGGGACACATAGAGACAAACGAGACAAACAACCATTCACTCTCTCACTCACACCTAGGGACAATTTAGAGTTACCAATCAGCCTAACATGCATGTTTTTGGTCTGTGGGAGGAAACTGGAGCACCCGGAGAAAATCCACGCATGCACGGAGAGAACATGCAAGCTCCACCCAGAAAGGCTCCTGGACCGGGGTTTGAACCAAGGACCTGCTCACTGAGAGGCAGCAGCTCTACCAGTTGTGCCACCGTGCTGCCCTGAGAAATTATCAAACTTAATTAAGTTTGATTTAATGTGCCGGTCCGTTGTAGTGAAGAGGGAGCTGAGCTGTAAGGCAAAGCTCTCTGTTTATCAGTCAGTCTATGTTCCTACCATCATCTCTAGTCATGAGCTCTGGTTAGTGACTGAAAAAATGAGATCTTGGATACAGGAGGTTGAAATGAGTTTTCTCTGCAGAGTAGCTGGACTCTCCCTTAGAGACAGGGTGAGAAGTTCATTAATCTGGAGAGACTCAGCGTAGAACCACTGCACCTCCACATCAAGAGGAGCCAGTTGAGGTGGTTTGGGTATCTGGTAAGGATGATCCCTGGGAGGTGCTTCAGGCATGTCCAACTGGGAGGAGACCCCGGGGAAGACCCAGGACACACTGGAGAGATGATGTCTCTCGGTTGGCCTGGGAACACCTTGGAGTCCTCCTAGAAGAGCTGGAAGAGGCTGTGGAAAGAGATGTCTGGACCTCCCTGCTCAAGCTGCTGCCCTGGAGACCTGACTTAAGAATAAGTGGAAGAGGATGGATGGAGGGATGGATGGATGAATGGAGGGCAGTTTGATTCAGGTTGTTTGAGTTTTTTCACTCAAATGATTTTAAAAGCTATAATGTTTACATCATTAAAGCACGTGACCCTCCTGCTGCCCTTGCATCAAAATGACCCAAAACTTTAATCCTCATGGGCATTTTACACCCAAATCTGTAATTCTCAGTAAAAGCACACAACTGCTTCCTGTTTTACCAGCAATCAGCCTCAAGTTTGTTAACTAAAAAAAAAAATTCTGTTGGATTTGAAGAACCAGTCTGTGTCAGAGGCAACAAAGCGTTGCGTCAGCGATGAAACTCTTCACTGTGTTTTAAACACGTTTCAGTGAATTTGAGTCACAATCAGCTCATTCTGATACAGAAACGATGGGAATCATTCAGAATGCACAATAATTCTTTAAAAAAACAGTTCAGGCAGTCCAAGCATCTGTATCAGTCTGCTGCAGAAATATGACAGAGTTCTTGTGAATATTTAAACAAATAAACTACTGATAGTACCATTTCCTGTTGTCAGTTTAGACACCCGCTTCAAATGTTATCAGCCATTAAATGGCCTGTTATCAGTTATAATCCCCGTATGTAGTGGTCAGACTGCCCCTCCTGTACCTCCTAGTGGGTTTAAAGGGTTGTTGTTAGCGTTGATAATAGGCTCACGTGCATAGGTTCAGAGTAAAGGGTCTGGGGATTAAGTTTAGGGTCAGTGCTCTGGGTCAGGTGCAAGGCTAGGTTTAGGAAATGTGTTAAATAAAGCTAATAATAATCAAAAAATACACTTAGTGTTTTATCCGTGCGCAACACTGAATATTATCAGCGATAAAAATGTAACTTTAAAATTGCTAGGAGGTAGGAGGGACAATAAGGTCCATTTAATGGGCTGATAACATCTAAAGCTGCTGTTTTAGATAGATAGATAGATAGATAGATAGATAGATAGATAGATAGATAG